AAATAAGTCTTTAAAAGAAAATATGTCCTCTTTCTCCAGGTTATATATTTGGGTTGTGATGGCCAGATGACAATTAACATATGAAGAAACAGAAAAAGATTTTTCCAAGTTATCATCCTGTTTTCCATGGCCACCAGCAGTGGGTATGGGAGAGTCATCCTCCACAAACTTGCCAGGTCTTTGTATGACAAGTCTTTATTTCTGAGTATTTTATGGGGTTGTCTAGAGTCCCCTCAGAGTCACCTGTTGATGGAGGAAGGTCATTGGCTAATAAAGGAACTGCCTTGGCCCATTTTATTGGTTAGAAGATAGGTGGGAGGAGTAAACAGAACAGAACGCTGGGAGGAAGAGGAAGTGAGCTCAGACTCCACAGCTCTCCTCTCGGGGGCAGAAGCCTCAGAGAGACGCCATGCCCCGCTCCTGGGCAGACACACGAGATGAAGCTCCGACCTAGAATCTTCCCGGTAAGACCGGTGCTCACAGATTATTAGAGATGGGTTGATCGGGATAACAGAATTAGCCAGTAAGGTCTAGGACTAAAGGGCCAAGCAGTGTTTAAATGAATACAGTTTCCGTGTAATTATTTTGGATAAAGCTAGCCGTGGGGGCGGCCGGGTGCCGGGGACGCAGCCCCGCCGCCCTTATTACTACAACCTGTCTCTCTTCCCTAAGTGTTAAGGATGTTGCTGCTGTATGTTTCTCTGAGTGGAGCATCTACTCACCCTTCTGGTCAAGTTTTATTTCCTGAATTGTCTATTTTCTTAGTGTCTCCTTTAGAAGCTTTCTGTATTCTGGATACAAGAAGACTGTCATCTGATATACAATTTCCCACATTCATTTTCCCAGGTAAGAAAAATATGTTTCTATCATATATTTGGAAGAATAGATATTTTCTCACTTTATGGAATTCATAACACTCCAGTTCTTCATTTAATGAAAGGGGGTTTGCCATATCTAAGAAGTTTGTTTGTAATTCATGAACCTGAACATCCAATTGTATTCTGCTACAAGATTCATGTTTAGGTTGTAATTTGGACTTCTTTTAGGTTTATTTTCCCTATTTACTGAGGGTCTGCCTGTATGTCTGTGTGTGCCAAATACACGTTTGAGTGCAGATGCCCACTGAGACCAGAAGAGACTGTCAGTTCCCCTGGATCTGGAGTTACAGACATCTGTCACCCACCATATGGGTGCTGGAAACTGAAGTCAGGTCCTCTGCAATAGCAAAAGGCACTCTTAACTTTTGAGATGTCTCTCTAGTCCTGTGTAGATCATTTGTTCATTCTCGATTGACTTTTGTATCCTGCGATATACGATTGTCTATATTTATATTTGTGCATGGGGAGGTCTGCTTGTCCCAAAATAAGACAGAAAGACAGGGCATTGAAGGGGATATGAGAGGGAACACACAGCCCCTCACCCTGTAATCATTTTTACATTTTCCTGACATTCAAGAGACCTCAAGCCAACTGATAGAGCCAAAATTACCTGCAGATATGATGCAACTATTCCTAAAGACATCCCAAATAATGTTTAAAAATAACAACAAATAAACTAGAGTCTGAAGATAGGGTTCATTCTTTAATATCACTGGATGTCTTCCAGAGGATCCAGGGTTGATACCCAACACCTACCCGATGGTTCACAACTGTCTGTAACTCCAGTTCCGAGAGATCTCATAAAGTCTGGTACTGTCTGTGGGCATTAGGTACTCACGTGGTGCACAGACTTCCCTGTGGAAAAGCATTCAAAAGCAGAAAATAAAAAACGCAGTTATGCTTTCTTAGGGGCAGAATACTTGTAGCCTTGAGATGGATGATGATAGCACTCTATTCTATCGCCTAAGTCACATAATCACCTTACAATTTAATTTACTGAAAGAAACTTTAAAAGGAATAAGCACATTTAAAAGCATTGCTTTTTAGTTTCATTTTTTACTTTTTAATAACCTATTGAATATTTTTTTCCTAATGGAAAAATAGAACCCATTTAAAGAGTAAAAATATTCTTATAGTTAATTTAAAAACCTGAATATAGGCTTTAATGTAATTTAATCTTGAAATTTTCTGAATTACATTCTTTCAGCAATGTAACTTTAGAGCCATAAAAATCCTCCCATTTCTCCCTCTCCCACTGTACCTCCCTCCCTGCCCACCTCACATACCCTTTGCAATGACACCTAATCTCAAGTCTCTCTCCAGTCCACTCTCAGGCCATCATGCAGGAGCCATCCTTATTCTGTGTGAGCTTCTATCCACAGGATTAATAAGCTCACAACCTTTGCTTCATCCTGGCTGTTTCTGAAATTCTTTACTGCTTCCTAGATTCATCTTTACCAGGGTCAAGGTCATCAAAGCGACAGGGTTATCCTCAGGCTGCTGGTCACTGTGCTGGGCTGTACCTCCCTACCACCACCAAGAGTCCCAGAAATCCTCGGTGAAGAGCATATGCCTGCTTCACTGAAGTGTCTTTGAGTCTTTGCTAAAGGTGTCCCCTCACACATGTGTGACACTTCTGTCCCCTTCATATTCTTTTCTGTCTTATTGTCATTTCCAATCAGGCACGCTGTCTACATTTCTCTAGGTTTATAAGGAGTTTGGAAGTCAGGTGTTCATCCTCCAAGTTTGTTCCTTTATAAGGTTGTTTCAAGCTGGGGTTCTTCATATTCACTGTGAGTTTCAGGATAAGCCCATTAGTTTATGAAAAGTCTGTTAGAGTTCTGTTGGTATTGCACTGGATCTATAGGACTGTATGAGGAGAACAGACACCTGTATCTTCCATTGCATGAAGATGATTGTAGCGTGAGTTCTAATTGGTCTTAATAATAAAATCTGGAGTCAGATATTAAGTGGTTGGAGCTATAAGATCAGAACAGCAGAGCAGCCAGACACTAGATCTTTCCTCGACAAAATCCTCAGACCAAATGGAGCATCCTGTCTCTACAAGACCTCAGACTGACTGCCTGGATCTCCTATCTCCTCCCACCTTATATTCCTCTCTTTTCCCAGCCACATTCCTTTCATTCTCCATCTCCCTCGTGCTGGGATTAAAGGTGTGTGACACCAAAGCACTTTGATGAAAGATGTGAGTCACCACTGCCTGAATCTGTTTCTTTTTTAGACTGGATCAATCTAATGTAGACCAGGATGGCCTTGAACTCACAGAGTTCTGTTTCTTAAGTGTTGGGAAAGGTGAGTTCCAACACTGCCTGTCTTCTGTGGCTAACTAGTGGCTATCTGTACACACTGATTCTCAGGCAAGCTTTATTGTCATGGAAGAAACAAAATATCGCCACAGTCGATGAATCTATACATCTTTACTCTCAGCAATGAGTTGTCCCATTCAGTGTCTAGGCACTACAGAGAAGTGGGCAGGGTTTTCCTAATTATTTCATATTTCCTGATGCTATCTCCAGTGACAGGGATTTTAAATTACAGCCTCCACACATTCATTTCACTGTGGTCAGCTGTCTGTGTTAAATTTAGACAGAGTTATTGATGAATCTTTTAGGTTAAAATATTTAATTACATTCTCTATGATGAAAATGTCTTTGATGCAAACATATATTTGCTGTGTTTAAAATTCAGTACTTTGAAGTTGCAAGTGAATTATGAGAACAGAAACAAATGTCCAACACCCAGTTTGGGGGAAAATTTCTAAGGCAGCCACAGGTCAAAGGTTTGCCCCAATGGCATCTTTGGAATCATAGAGATAGTCCTTTACCTCCCAGCTAGCTCCATCAGGGAGGTGCTGAGATCACGGTGGAGAGAAAGAAGGGGATACATGTGAAGAGTTAGGTATGTATGTGTAACTCCAGAAAGGTTTGTATTATGAAGAATACTTAGGTAATTATTTTCAAAATATCTAATATTATTTTCCCCAACACAAAAAGGAAGAGGTTAGTACTCGGGTGTTTTCCCTCTTGTTTTCCCATCCAGTCATGCAGATTTTAGCAGTGTTGCTGTGGACTTGTACAGAGGGGGTGTTTTATGTATGGTTCTTTCCATGTTTATTATAACCATGACGCCTGCTAAGTGTTGCTCTGATACCTACTTCCCTGTGCAGTTACTAGTATACAAGCATTGCTTGTCTTTGAGTAAAGTTTCCCTTTTATCTTTTGTTTATTAATGGATTTACTCATGCGTTTGTGTCTACTCAGAAACACCCATTTCTTAAAGGAGTACTCCTTTGTCATCATTATATACTGTGATGCTTAAATTATCCCATAACATGCCCGTGGGAGTACATTCAAGAGGACCTGCTCTTCATTTGTTATCTGTCTAGAATTCTGGATTATCTGACCACCCCTGGGAAGAAAGCCAAAAGCAAATGCTTCTTGTCAGTGATACTTTGTGTCCTCTGCCTATCAATGTCAGGTCTCTTCTATGAGAAGAACAGCAGGACTGCAGAGAGAAGACGCAGAATGTTGACAAGAAGCTGACATGAGCCCTTGTTTCTAGTATGTGAGTCATCATTGCCACCAATGTGAGTGTGTGTGTGTGTGTGTGTGTGTGTGTGTGTGTGTGTGTGTGTGTGTGATGTGTACATGGCTGTGTATAAAGGGTCTGTGAAATGAACAAAGAAGAGGAAGATGTCACTGCACATCTTTGACTTGACTGGATGCAGACAGACTACTCCATCCTTATATTCAGTACAGTAGAGTGACAAGATCATGTGGGACTCACCAGGTGAGTCATTTCCTTTTCTCTTCCCATCTGTGTGACCAGCAGCTGGTCTGTAATGCCTTATAGGAACACATCCTGTTGAGCAGGTCGCAGCAAAGAGCAGCACACTGTGAAACAATGGCATTCATAGACTCCCCAGATGACTGAACCCTGTAGGGGTCCCTTTAAATGACCAGGACTGAAATGGAAGCAATCCCCATCAGACCATTTCCCCGAATGGGCCATGCATGACTGCATCACATTTGGAGGGATTGCTTATTAAGATGGTAGAAATCTGGATCCACAACAGACACTGAATCATGCTTATTAAAATGGTAGATATCTGGGTCCACAGCAGACACTGATTCAAACCCTGGGAAGTGGGGTGTGGCATAGCCACTTCTTTCTGATGGCTGTCCATGTTAAAACGTATTGCTAGTGTGTTTGATATTCTGTCTTCCAGGATATGAAGTCACAGACTGCTTAAGTCCATACCATGTTCTCTTGTTACTGCCTTAAATACCAGTGTGTTGCATGGCATATCAAATAGACAAATCAATTCCTTCGTGTACGTTTATCCAGATATTCACATAGTGGCCTCTTTAGTGAACACCTTGTTCCTGCACTGTGAAGACTAGCACGGGTCCTTGTATATCGTGTTAGATAGGCAAACTGTCAGTAAGCAGAAGAAATCAGTAATCACAGCAATTCCGTGTATTATTGGCGCTTTAAAGATCATAAAGGGGACAGGAAATAGTTGTGATGGGGATTGTCGTATGTGATGTTACCCCCAAAGGTTTCAGAAGTTAGCATGTGATCTGAGTCCTGAATGGCAAATAGAAGCAAGACCGTGCACAAACCAAGTTGTGGGCGTGCTTGCTTCCATGGAGAACAGTGGATCTAAGAGCAGAGAACAAGGCTAGTTGCCAGAACCTTGAAGACAACGTGGACACTGCTTGGGGATAGGACAGAAAGGAAAATGTTGTCATTGTCAGCTGTGTATGACATTTGGATTATATGATCTGTGTGGAAGGTGAGTTATGGAATTGTCATGATATGTTTCCTTTTGGTACAAGGTGACTTGGCACTGAACAGAGAAAGGCCTGGGGAGGGCGGGATGAGGTAGTGTGTGGAGACAGTGGAGATGGTTCCAAAGACAGGGTAGGGATGGAGGTATGAAAGAGGGATGAAGCCATGCTGCAGTGATCAGCAGGAGAGCTGCCCTGTGCAGCCTTGTCTGGGAGAGGGCAGATAGCACCTGGATGCGCTGTGCATTTTCCTTGTGGAGACATTGCTCTAACATCTCTGGATTTGTCTGACCACATGGAGACACAGTGCTTCCATTTACTGACATCAGTTATTCCACGTGTATTGACACAGGATAGTTTGAATACCCAAACTAGTCATTGTAAAACTTAACAATTTGATAACGAGTTGCTGATGAATAATTTTCAGATGTAAAGTTTTCTAAGTACAGCTAACCGTAGCATAATTTCCAACAGAATAAGAATCTAACATTTGTCTCTTAAAAAGTGAACCCAAAATTCAGTGTATTTTTGAAAATGGCTGTTCTACAGCATGTACTGCTCTTGGCAGGTTTACAGATGAAGGAAGTGAGTAGGTTTTAGGCAAAGTTGAAGTGAAATCAGTCTCTAAATTCTGCAGCAACTGTTTGTCCCTATTTCTCCAGAAGAAGACTGCCTTTAGAAATGCTTATTTTTGACAGCTGGGCATGGAGCAAACATTCACAAGACAGAGACAGTTGGATGTCTGAGTTCAAGGCCAGCCTGTAATTCCAATTGCATATATCAACATTAGTCTGTCACATATGCAGGAACTTGTGACTGGTATTTAAAGCAGGTATTATCACTAAAGACCCCCAAATTAGCACATGAGCAGTGTGATGCTCTCAATTCACAGAGTGGGAAGCACAGCTCAGAGCAGAGGGTCTCACTCTGTTTTCTCCTCACAGAAATTCCCAGCCTGTGTTTGGAAAATGGGTCCAGGACATCCTGGCTCAGGGAACCAAAGTTGCTGGGGCTAGGAAGGTCCCACATCTCTCTGACTCTAGAAAAGTGGTTCAACCTGTGACTTGACCCCTTCAGCAAACGTCTATCTCCAAAACTATTTCCATTGTGATTCTTACCTGTAACAACTTTACAGCGATGATGAAGCAACAGAAATAATTTTCTGGTTGGGATCACCACGCATGAGGGACTGTATTAAGAGTCACGTCACAGCATAGGAAGGCTGAGAACCATTGCTGTACAGACATCCAAATGCAGAATCCGGCTTCTCAGATATCTCTGGGATCCCTTCATCATTGTCCCCACACTCCTAGGGAGGCACAGCCCCACATCAGGACACATACACTCACATCTCCGTGCAAGGGAAATCCTGTTCTTCTTTCTCCGTCATTTCTATTTCCACACACTATGCTATATTTCCAAATTTTCTTTTTTTATGTCTTCAGCACTGAGCTTAAGGATGTGTCTGATTCTTTGACCAACCTTTTTCCTGTTTTGTGATTCTTCTGCAGGGTCTGGGTCATTGGCTGTGCACACACATCCACAGACAGTACAACAACAGCCTCTAGTCCCTTGTTGCTGACCTTTGGGAAGCTGGGCATGTAAGGTAGGTTTGCTGGCAGGAGACTTGCTCTCAGGAACAGGATGTCCTTGCCAGAGGCTGGACTCGAGGATGCTACAGCACTTAGATCTGCCCAGCATCTGACGGCCCGGTCCCAAGCTCTTCACAAATGTGGTGGGAGCACATTTGGGGATTTTTAAAAGTGGTCCCTAGACACTGCTATTGCTCCCCTGGCTGTGCACACATTCCCAGCTATATTCTTGATTTCTCTGGTAGCTGTTCAATGAGAATGCTATACCATGAAAAGAAATCACTGGTGAATTTAAAAAGCCACAGTATGGGGACTGGCGACATAGCTCTCGTGGCAGAATGATTGCCTAGAATGGAAATTGCTCTGTGTTCTTTGACCCTCTGGGCATGTTCACCCTCACCTGTAATACCAGCACTCAAGGCGTAGAGGGAGGAGGAAAGAGACAAGAGAGTCATTACTGTTTATGAGAGTATGGCTCCCAGCCCCCATGGCAGATAGCTCACAACTGCCTTTAACTCTAGCCCCATCAGGAGTCAATGCCTCTGCCAATCATGTGCATACCACAGACAGACAGACAGACATAATTAAAAGTATAACTAAAATCTAAACAAGAAAAAAAAGAAGCATCAACTCCAGGTCATTGACCAAGGGGAAAACACAGTGGAATTTAAAATATGAACATTATAAAGGCTAACGGAATCTAACAGTCTACAGTCTGGCAGGGGAGATGACTCAGTGGTTCAGAGTGCATTCTATTGTTGCTGAGGATCCAAGGTAGTTTCCAGCATCCATTTCCAACATCCTTGAAGGACCATACCTCAGCTCCAGGAAGGTATGACCTCTCCTGACCTTTGGAGGCATAGGAATTCATGTGTACATACACATAGGAATATACACAACGTAATTATTATTAAGTTATGTTCATTTTAAAATTATGTACAAATTAAAATAATTGTTGTGAAACAATGAAGAAAAATGGTCAAATGCCAGGCAGTAATGAGAACAGTTTTCATCAGCGTTAGGTGGCAAATGCGTGCACTTCCAGCTATTTGAACACTGGGGTTACACGATCATTACTGCTAAGAAGTTTCAGAACAGCCTTAATAGCACAGAGAGGCCCTGCCTCAAAATGAAAACCAAACAAAAACCAGAAATATCTCAGAAAATGTGAAATTTCTTAGAAAAACAATCTTAGAGTACATGGTTTTTCAAGAGATGTGGATCATTATAAAATAAATTTTTGCAGGGAAATCAATGATAAAATTACTTATTTCGTGGGAATTCAACAATATACATGTAGAAATGGAATGAAAATGTTACTGGGCCGAGAAGAAAACAGTAGCATTAAGAATGTGTTTACATTAAAATGAATACTTGAGCTGGGGCAGTGTGGTAAGCTGGGAGGACCAGCAGCACTCTGAAGGCTGAGGGAGGAAGGGGAAGAGTCCCAGGCTGGGCTGGGCTGCTCTGAGACTCTGCACTAAACACACAAAATAGTTAGCAGGACTATTATCATTCCATTCACTGTGGGAAAGTTTCAGCTTAGTTCTGTCATGGGAAACCATCCTCTTTTCACTGGATGTTAGGCAGAGCCCTGTGTGTCCCTGGCAGACACATTAAAGATTACCATCCCCTAAATGGGGAAGTGACTTCCTCACCAACACATACAGCAAGGCGCACAGAAAATGGCGGCTGGGACTCTACTCAGATAGCTCACTCTCTGGAGATTTCCCTGCAGACAGCCCTGTGCCTTAGGGGTAGGAATAAGCCCAGCAACAGACACAGATTTCCTTATGGTAGTACATGTGCTTTCCTGTGGTGTTTGAAATTTCGTATCCAGGAAGGAAAGTACTTTAAAGTGTAAACTGAGAAAAATGCTTGTGCTCGGGTGGTAAAAGTGGGGCTGGGGAGACAGCTAAATCAATAAATTGCTGGCCTTGTGGGCATGAGGCCCTGAGTGTCATTCACAGAGAGCATCATCAAGAAAATGAAGTTAAACTACAGCAGGAAAAGTAGTAGGTGTGGTGGGACATGCTTGTGTGTGAAGGTGGAGGCAAGCCTATCCCTGGAGTGTGCTGCCCAGCCAACCCAGCCTGCCTTGCGTGTTCCAGGCCAGTGAGAAACCTTGTCTAAGAAAAACTTCAGGGGGATGGCGCCTGAGGTACAACACCGGAGGCTGCCTTCTATCCCCTGACCACATGCATGTATGCATACAATTGCAGAAGCACACACATATGCACACGGGCACACAACCACACACTGGATAAACGATGTTTATACCTTCTGTACTTTAGAAGTAGTCATTGTGTTCCGTTTCTGGGCAATGAAGTAGAAGGACAAATGGAATCTACTCTCATGCTCTGTGCATGCCTGTGTGCATATGTGTGTGTGTGTTTGCACACAGAGCTCCACCATCTCTATCTAATAAGGCTGCTTTATGTTAGCCTTAGACTGGGATTGGTCTCCAATCTCGGGTTTACATTTGATATACCTAAGATGTCAAGGTTTATGTACCAGGAAAATATACTGAAGTGAAAAAACACTGCTTTATCTCCAGAGGTAAGGTCCCTTCAAGTCCAGGTCACAGCCAATGTTCCCTCCCACCCAAACATAGACTCCACTGGGCCCAAGACTCTCACTGATGTAGTCCCCATTATGGCCAGGAGGTGGCATTCAAACTACATGCCTACATTTATTTTCTTTAAAGGGGCTGATGTTTTATGGAATAGCAATGCGTTTTCAGTGTGTTTGGAAACTTGATACAATACTAGAGCAGTTCCATTTATGGATTGCAGCAACTGAAGTGCTCCACAACTCACTTCATCCTCCCTGAGTGTAAAGTGGGCAGTGCACACGGGATACAGAGTGGTGCTCTGTAGAGAATATGAATGTGGTGGTCACCTTGAATCCCCTGACACTGGAATGGATGGATTTCCTAGACTTTCCATCTCCTCTCCAGGAGGCTGTGGTACAGTCCCCAGATCGCTGCCTCCCAGGCAAGTTGTATCCTGGTCAGTCACTGCCATTGTGTTGCACCATGCCTGCTGGGGACTTCCAAGAGCAACCTGGTGTTTGTGGTGTGGTTGCCATGTACTTTTCCATGAATATGGTCTGCATATGGTTTAGATGTAATATGTATTCACCCTTACGATTTAGACCAAGCTTGGGGTCCCTTCTCTGTTGCACGAATGTTTCCAAAGTATTTCCTTTACCTCACCCTCATTTTGGAGCCACTAACTAGATACTGAAAGAGAAATTATCCCCTGAGCCCTACAAGAAGAGATAACACAGAAGAAAAGAAGCAGGAACCCCAAGTCCCTTGACAGCCACAGGACATTGACTGAGCTACTGTTCTATTGCTGGGAAGAGGCGCTGTGCTGAAGAGAATTTACAGAACAAAGCATTAAATTGGGAGCTTGCTTTCAGTGTCAGAGGGTTAGTCCAGTACCATCACTGTGGGCAGCATGGCAGCAGGCAGCCTGGCAGGGCACTGTAGCAGAAACTGAGAGTTTACATCCTGATCACAGGCAGGAGGCAGAGGGCTTTTGAGTCATCAGAACTCACACCCAGTGACAAACCTCGTCCAATAGGGCCACACATCCTAATCTTTCTTAAACCATCCACCATTGGGATTGAAACATTCACCAAAAGAGGCGTATGGAGATCATCCTCATTCAAACTACCACCGTCCTATAAGGGATTTCCTCTGCCCCATCAAGCTGCAGAGGGAGAATTGTGGTTGGCTGAGTACTCATAAGTGCATAGACTAGAATCGGTTCCAAGATGTCAGTCATTAATAGAAGAGACTACTGTGTGACATTTGGGGAGAGCAGGAGGCCATTCAAGTTACTTGTCGGAAATAATGTGCTCTTCAGAATACAGTAGTCCCCTTTTGGTTCTCTTCATGGATACTGAAACTGTATACTGAAACTGTAAAGGCCTTGAGCACACAGGAATTATACAAGATTTAGTGAACGTACACACACACACACACACACACACACACACAAACATACATACACACACACACACTTTCTTCAGCCATGTCATCAATTTATTTCTGTGAATTAGTAGTTTATGGTGGGCCAGGCATCATCATTCTAACCCCACATCTACATGTCTCACACAATTCCTTTTTCCCTTCTTTGATCTGCTCAAGTGGATTCCCATGGAAACCATTCAAAGAGACTGCCTTAAACTGTCTGGTCCACAAAGAAAAACAAATGCTGCCCTGGGAAACCAAGGAAAATTTGGCCCATCCTTCCCATAGTGATAGCTATAAGGCCACACCCTGCTCCTGGCTATATCTCCCTTACAGAGGGGAGGGAGGATAAACCTTGTGTGGTGTCTGTCTTGGAAGTTATCCTGGGTGCGGAATAGATTTTTTTCTGATTCTGCTTTCCATGTGATAGTGCAGTTAACATGTCTCCATACTTAACCAAGTATGGATGATCTATAAGAAAGCAATTTGTTTAAGGAGGACATTGAGGTTACACCAAGCACGTGACTTCCCTTTCCCACACTGTGGAACTAGAACCAGAGCTACAGGACACAGAGAGGAAGAGGAACCACGTCTTCAAAGACAAAGACAGGCAGAGGGGTCTAGTCTGAGCATGTAACTCTCCTGATTTCAGGAAATGCTCACCACAGGTTTCTCACATAGCAGTCCCCTCCTCTCAGCTCTCCCCGTGGGTAGTCTGATAGCAAAAAGACACTCTTCTCCATTGCTGGAGAGAATGCAACTGTTCTCCAAGCCTATGGATGGGTCTTATGCTAGTGAAAACCTCAAGCGTGCATTCTGGGGACCTGGGATCTTTCTTCTAAGGATCCATCCCAAAGAACACAGAAGGGGACACAAAGACTGTCAGAGCAACACTGTAGAACTCCAAGAGAACTATGAAAATCGTCTGTGGGAAGGAAAGAGGGACAGCTTGATCTCAGGTGTATCTAGGACTGCTTTCCACTGCTTCCTGACAGTTTACCCATATAACACAATACTCCAAGATCCGTGGTA